ATTGTGAAGATCTTGCGGCAATTGCGAGTTTGCATTTGCAAACCTGATGTCGCAAATGCGACATCAGAGACCTGGGCACAACTTTTAAAAACGGTACTTAGGCCATTTATTTCATTTGATCTCTACACTTGGGCAATTTGGGAGCTTTCAAAGAGGGGATTCCAACATAGCATTGTGAGGTAAGTTAATTCTTCTTAATGTGAGTTTAATACTTGGGTTTTGGGTAGATTAACACACAAAAAATTAGTGAAAACTATGGGATTAGAGCAAGACCTAGGGTTTTGATAAAAGTTATATTTAACCACGAAATTTGTTATGAAATGAATTAGAAATCATATATTATTGATCCTTAGGATATAGAGAACAACTTCCTTCGAAAATGTTTGGAATCCGGGCACGTGGGCCTAGGGTCAGATATTTGGAAACTTGTGTTTAAGGTTGGAAAATTGCTTAAATAGCTAGAATACGATCTTGTGAGCTTATATTGACTAGTTTCTACCTCATTTAATTAGTTTTGGATTGTTCGGCTCCAAATTGAGGGTTTGGGCTCGTTCTTGGTATTGGGAGTACACTTTGGAGAGAGGTAAGTCTCCTTTCTAACCTTGTAAGAGGTAATTATCCCCATAGGTGTAATAATTGAATAATTTTCTACTAAATGTGGGGGCTACGTACGCACTAGGTGATGAGAGTCCATGCGTAGCTACTATTATGTTAATTGTTCGAGTAGTCTAGGACCCGTATCATGCTATATTTGTGATTGTCTCTATATTTTCTTACTAATGTGATCACATAGGATATGCTAGAGACTTGGAAAGGAATATAAGCGAATGTATACACTTGTTGGACACTTGTATGAATTTGTTTGAAAATAAATGTGCCTTCATGTGTTTTTCTTGATATTAATTGATATTTGTGGATCGGGCCGATCATCTCGGTAGAAATAGATGCATCTATGGTTCGCACCATTCGACCCTCTGGCAGTGCACAGTTTACTTTCTATTGGATCGGGCCGTCGACCTCGGCATAATGTGCGCATGATATCTATGTGAAATCTTATCCATGACTTGTTCTGCTAAATACTTGATATATAAATGGTTAATTGTAAAATTGTTAAGAACCTGACTTATTACCTCTTGCTACAAACTGTTGATTATTTGCGACTCCCATGCTTAGTATAATACCTTATTGTATTATTTGACCCTAGTAAGTATCAAGTCGACCTCTCGTCTCTACTTCTTCGATATTAGACGAGATACTTACTGGGTACATATTATTTATGTACTCATACTACACTTCTGTACTTAATTGTACAGGATCTGAAGCAGGTACATGTGATTACCCAAAAGGTCATCACCTATTTTTTAAAATTAATTCTGCATTCCAAGGCCTTAAAAACCTCTTTCGGCATCACCTCGATTTGCATGCGCAGTCTGGGCGCGTAGCCGGAAAGCTATTATGTGAAAATCTGTGAAAAATGTTGAAATTTTGAATTAAAATGCATTTAAGTTGACTTCAGTCAACATTTTAGGTAAACGGATCCGGACCCGTGAATTAACGGTCCCAGAGAGTCCGTGGAAAAATATGGGACTTGGGCGTATGCCCGGAATTGGATTCCGAGTTCCCAAGCCCGAGAAATGAATTTTTTAAAGAATTTTTTTTTCTGAAAATTTCTTTGAGTTTTGAAATGAAATGCAATTAGAATTTGATGGTATCAGTACCGTATTCTGGTTTCGGATCCCGGTATAGGGCTTATATGTGAAATAAGATGAGTTTGTGAAATTTGGTAAGAAACGGAAGTCGTTTGAGGTGATTCGTACCCGTAGTTGTGAAAATTTCTACTTTGAAAGTTTTGAGAATTTTCTTAGATTTCTATGCTAAATTCATTGTTTAATAGGTTATTTTGGCGATTTGATCGCACGGATGAGTTCATATGATGCTTTTGAGTTAGTACGTATGTTTGGTTTGGAGCCCCAAGGGCTCGGGTGAGTTTCGGAAAGTTTTGAACTCATAAAAAAGTTGCATGTTTTTGGCTGTTCAGTGACCAGGGATTTTGTTTTTCGCGTTCGCGTGGTCTCACTCACGAACGCGTAAGGCAAATCTCCCAGGTGCTAAATTTCTTCTTCACGAACGCGAGGATGAGGGGGGAATACCCTTCGCGAATGCGTCCAAGCAATCGCAAACGCGTAAGGTTAAAGGCCTGGGGCAGGGTTCATATTTTGTTTTACGCGAACGCGGCCACTGGCCCGCGAACGCGAAGGCTCAAGGGGTCAAAGCTCCGTGAACGCGTAAAGTTAAAGCCTGGGGGAGGGTTCATATTTTGTTTTACGCGAACGCGAAGGCTCGATGGGTCAAAGCTCCGCAAACGCGGGCCTAATGTCACGAACGCAAAGGTCACTGAGGCCTAACTCATCGCGAACACGACAGGCCTATCGCGAACGCGATGAAGGCCCGTCGAGTGATTTTAAAACAGAAGCCAAATCGGGATTTAATCAAAATTTCATAACTTTTTCTTCCAAACTCCAAATTGGGCGACTTTTTAAAGGGGATTTCACTATCAATCCATAGGTATGTAATCTTAGACTCATTTTCTTCAATTTCCATTAACAACCATTAGATTTCCAGGCTTACATCATGATCTTAAGGGTAGAAAATTAGGGATTTGGGTAGAGTTGGGGCTTTTTATATAATTGTAATTTAGACCTCGTTTTGGGGTCAAATTTTGGAACTAATTATATATTTGGGCTCATGGGTGAATGAGTGATCGGGTTTTGGTCCGAACCTCGTGTTTTGACCAAGCAGGCCCGGGGTCAATTTATGACTTTTTGGGAAGAATGATGGGAACACTATAATTAAGTATTGGAATTGGATTGTTTAGAGTTTATTGATGTTATTAAGTCGATTATGTCTAGATACAATTGATTTGGACCAAATTCAAAAGGAAAAGCGGTGTTTGAGGCTTGAGTTGGCCGTGGAAGTTTGAGGTAAGTGTTTGGTATAACCTTAGCTTGAGGGATTAGGAGTTGTGTCCTATTTGCTACTTGGTCCTTGTTGAGTACGATGTATAGGCATGGTGACGAGTATCTATATGTTGGTGTCAAGCATGACCATGAGTCTTAAATTGAAATTTGTTGTGTTCTTAAATAATACTACGGATGCTTAAGTTTGATGATTCTCTATATTGAGCAAGGATTATGATTATTCTCGTGGAAATTACTTATGGCTGAGTATTGGTGTTAGCTGAGGTAGTTAGAAGTTGGAACAAGTTTGGTTATAGCTGGATATCCCTTGCCGGGACGTAGTTACTGATACTGTCAATTCCCTTGCTGGGATAGAGTAGTTCTTTATTGATCACTTGCCGGGACTCTTGTTATGATTGTTGTTGATTGTATATATGGATCGGGTTGCGCGCCACAACAATGATATATTTGGATCGTGTTGCACGCCGCAACAATATTATATGTGGAGTGGGTTGCACGCCGCAACAATGATATATTTGGATCGGGTTGCACGCCGCAACAATGATATAATTGGATCGGGTTGCACGCCGCAACAATATTATGTTTAGATTGGGTTGCACGCCGCAACAGTGATAAATGATATGGATCGGGTTGCACGCCGCAATAGTGTTATTATGATTTGGATCGGGTTGCGCGCCTCAACAATAGATAATACGAAGTGCTTATAGATTGGTTACGGGTTCCTTATTATTTTGCTGTAAATTCTAAAGTGTTCTTTACGTTTCCTCTTAAATTACTGTTGGTAAATGATATTCCCCCGCAGCATGTCCCCCTCCCATCTTTACTTGCTTATTTCTGTTTTACTTTCCGATGTATATTACATAACTGCACATGTTTATTTGGTAGTCTGGTCCTAGCCTCGTCACTACTTCACCGGGATTAGGTCAGGCACTTACCAGCACATGGGGTCGGTTGTGCTGATACTACACTCTGCACTGTGTGCAGATCCTGGAGCGGCAGCTTTTGGACCATAGCTTTGGGTGACTGCCTTCAGTCCAGTCAGAGATCCCGAGGTAGTCCTGCAGGCGTCCGCAGGCCCGTCGTTCTCTTCTACCTTTATATTCTGTTTTCATCTACTTCAGAGACAGATTGTACCTTTCTTTCAAGACATTTGTATGTAGTATTCATAGAAGGTTCGTGATATTGTGACACCGGTTCCGGGTAGAGGTGTATGTTGGTATTGTCTTACTTGTTTTTGGCTAAGTCATCAAATTACATCTTCCGCATGAATTTATTTATCGTTAATTTTTCACTGTTGATCGCATGTTGATTTAAATTGTTAAAAAAGGCTAAATAAAAGAGTTAATGAATCTATAATGCGCGGCTTGCCTAGCTTTCACGAGTAGGCGACATCACGACTCCCGAGGATGGGAAATCCGGGTAGTGACACATCCACAAATATTCTATATATGGATAAGCCTGGGTAATGAACAGATCTAGTTAGCATAGCCACAATACAGCTGTAATGGGAGACAAAAAGAGCACAATGTCAAAAGATGAACAATGAGTGAGAGGCTAGCAAGCAATCATCACCAATTTGATAAACTTTTGATTGCCTTTCCCCTCTTTTTCTACTTTGCTTTTGTGATTCCAGTATCACTAGGTGTTGCTACAAAAAGTCTAGCTTGAATGAATCTTGAAAGCAATAATTTCTCCCCCATCACCTTTCTTTCAAAACCTTTATCATAATAAAGCAAGTGCTAAAGCCAATCCTACTATTATGATTGAGATAGGTTATCTATCCTATGCTTATAGTTTGTGCCTTTGTGGGGTCACAGAGTCCCATCCTCAGCACTGGTCAATGCCTCTACTCATTTGTTTGCACATAAAATTCCCGCTTTTCCACCACAAAGTCAGGAAGAGATGTAGAAATATCATAACATAATCCTCAGTCATGGGGTCGCTAAAGGTAATAAAAATCAGCTCAAATCTTAATCTAAGTAACCTAGACAAAAGGGTACTATACTTTCAACTCTACAGAAATGAAACAACAATAATCTCTTTTAAAATACCGGACCACGGTACAGTAATACTGTCGATTTACTATAACGCAACATGATAATATGAACAGATCTGAACAAACAGACTAAAACATACTCTGTTTTGACCTGCCAAAGATGATTGAGATATATACCGCTGAGTAGTTCTCAAAAATCAAAACTATCAATGTACATCGTACATACCGACATGTTTGAGATGTGGAACACTAATACAGATGGGTATCAAACTCAGGATTCAAATCTAGGATCGGCATGTCCTGTAAACCTCACCCCTCATTACATCTATTGGTGTGTGTTCCGAAGTGTAACGCTCAGGGCCTTGATACATTCCTGTCTTCTCCAGAAGGTTGAGTCCTTCATCCCTACCAAATCTTGAAGCATATAGCTTGAGGTACTCAATATCCTGAAAGGAATCGGTCACCAAAAAAGGAGTGAATACAAAAAGGGGAAATGAACGTAATCAGGCAATTTAAGAGATAAAAAATGAAGACATCATGCAAAGTTCAACATCTTTCTTCTGATAATTCGAGAAGCTTCAATTTATAGAAGAACAATAGAAAGAACTAAGAAGAGGGATATGTACAGAGAAGGTATCTCATTGAACAAAACACAGCAAAACATTGTAACTGAAGGAGTAAACTCAACAGAACAAATATCTGCAACTGATTCATATAAATGGAATGACTGAAGGAAATAGAAGTGTTGAAGTCTCTGAAAATAGGACCTAACAAGATTCAGCAAAAAAAGGGCAGCCCGGTGCACTAAGCTCCCGCTATGCGCGGGTCCGGGGAAGGGCCGGACCACAAGGGTCTATCGTACGCAGCCTTACCCTGCATTTCTGGAAGAGGTTGTTTCCACGCAAGATTCAGCAAGTTAAATTGAAATCCAAACAGGCCGTATTTAACTAAAGAATGTGCTGGGGGAAAGACATCAAAAAGATCTTGTTCAGACATCAAAAAGATCTTGTTCAGACATGCAAAGAGAAGTGCATCCAATTGTTTGTTCTGTAACACAGACAATTGCACCTTCCAGCCCCAAAAGTTCAAGGGGACTGCATGGTTGATGCCTTTCGACATGGTTATCAAGGGTCACAATTGACAGAAATGCAAACATACTATGAGAGGGGGAAAAAGTGAATATAAAGAGTACCTGCAAGCCACTCAAGAGACGCTCCAGTCTTAGTGAAGCAACAGGTTGCTGAGATGATGAGAACACCTGACCAGGGTAGAACAGGACTCCATCACCTGGAGGAAGTCCACGCCTGAACCTAATCTGCAGACACAGATTATTTGTGTTGGGCATGAAAAACAGATACAAAAATCCATCACTACAGTTAACCTATACAATATAGTTTATCTCTCAGTTTTATGTTATGCAGAGGGATGCACTAACCTCAGCACTGGGAACTGTTGCCTTCTCATAGCAGTTGGCACCCCAATACAAGAAACCTGTTCCACCTTCCTTCCACACACGCCACATCACAGCACGATGTTGAGTGCCTCGCATCCCCAAGTGCCAGTTTGGATGAGGATCACCTGGTCCCAAGCATACATACGTCCACCACTCCTGCAAAAAACATAACAAGCATTGAATTCATTCATAGTTCACATACAAAAACAGGAAAATGCTAAACAGGAAATTAAATAGCAAAAAGCATAAAGAAAGAAGCACTAAAGCCTGCAAGTGCAGTTGCACTCAGATGGTGATAATCTAATTTGATTAACTACTGCACCATCGCAAACAAACCAAAATGTTTCTAAGAAGGACAAGTCCAAGGACAACATAGAGGAGGTATCTAAATCAAATAATCTCATCCCTAGATATCATGAAACTAAACCCGAAGATCCACATTGAAGACTAAATTGCAGAGCACTTAATGCCTTTAGGCTGAAAGAGTCAAACATGTTAACACAGTATTAAACTTAGGCAAAACGCATTAGCTATGAACAAAGCTTCACGATAACTTCTCAAAATAAGATACCAATTTTCATTGGAAGAGAAAAGTAAAATGCTAAAACTATCTTGTGTCATCTTGATGTCCTTGTGAATTAATTTGTCATATACACTTGCAAATATCAACCACTTCCATACATAGAGATTATCAGAATGTTAACCATATAAGGTGGCCTTTGTTGAACTCTTTTGGTGACAATTATGCACAAAATATTTTAGGTTTAGAACCTATGTTGCTCGGACTCTCCAACAATGTCTTCAGGTGCATGCAGGATTCTCGGATCCTCCAAAAGTAGTGCATCTTTGGGGGATCCGAAATGGGTGCGGCAGAACTTTTGGAGAGTCCATGCAACATAGTTTAGAACTTGATAGGGACCAGTTAATGCACAGATTCTATCACCTTTTTTCTTTCCTGATCAAGCATACATTCTTTACGATAAAGATCATACATTCTTTACGATAAAGATCATACATTCTTTAACTTCTTATCGGATATAATATGATCAGTTTATAATGCTTGAAAAAGAAATGAATTTTATCCAAGAATGATTGCAGCCTAAGATAGAGAGTACTTCTCCACCAGTGAGGGAATCAATAATGAATGGGGTGCTATCTGATGATTGATAGTCTTGTAAATCAAATAGAATATCCAATATTGGCATATGGAATGATGTATTAAAACCACAGACATCCTAGAATCTCGGGTGCTAGGCTCTAGTCCTCAAATAGAGTTCATAATCAGCAGTGTCTGCAGGCAACAACTTATGTTGTCACATTAGAGGGGAAAAAGGAAAAGAGGACAACAAGACTGTGATATCAGCAAGGAGCCATGGATCAGAAAGTAAATTAATCCGTATGACACTTCTCTGCATCTTTTCCGCTTCCTCATTTAATGAGGCTCATATAGTATGTAAGTGAACTCATTGTGTACTCCGTAATAATCCATAAAATTAAATTTCATTACCTCACCATTTTCTGTTTGTATCTCTGCGATGATATCCTTTGCCAGATCCTCTCTGTTACCTATTACCCATTCACTGAATAAGAAAGGAAATATGTCAAAAAGCCTAGTAAGTGTATCTTCTCATCTGTAGTAACTTATCAACAAGGAAGAGAATCCAGACCATCTTTCCAGATGCAACTAGTGGTCATCACAAAACAGAAAAGGAAAGAGATCAAAAAGGAAACAGGTACTCCATCTATCCTATTTTCTATGACAGTTCTATTTGGGATGTATTCAAATAATTTGAAATATTTCTAATTTTAAGAAGTTAGTTTATAGTACATTCATGTAATTCTTAGATATGTAAATAACATTTAAAAATCTAAGAAATTAATATCTGAATTCACACCAAATCAGATGGTTTGACCCTCTTACTCCATAAATCAGCCATTCTTTTTATGACAAAGGAAGAAGCATATAATAGCCCGTTAGGAATTGAATTCTTCTAGGCTTACCTCCAACCTCCAAACATGAATCAGGTTAAAGCATGGAAAGCTGGCTTTATAATGCATTCAATGGTTTTCAGAAAGTATTAGTGTGCAATAGCATTGTTTAAAGAGTAATCTTATTTAGCATCAACTGGTCTAATATTCATATGACAGCTATAAAACAAAATAGAACATCCAAAGAGCATGAGAGGAAAAAAAATGGCTACAGAAAAGGAAAACAAGATCTTTATGATAAATGGAAAGAAATACTTAAGTATCTAGAATTTAAAAAATATGCAGTTAAAAATAATGGATGCTTTCACTGTAATAAATCCAAAGATTGCTAATTCAACTGTTTCATATCATTGGACTCAGCTCAGTTAGTGAGACTTCCAGATTAAATAATCCTGAACTAGTGCCCAATTTATTCAGCAACCTCTCACAAATAGCAGTCTATATTCCAGCCATCTGAGCTACAATGCTCACAAAATTAACTTTTCGTTTTTTTTTTTAAAAAAAAAATAAGCGGCTCAATTTTTAATTTACTATTTTGTTCTTTATACTTGTATGCGGGCAATAACAAAAAACTGTTTTCCGAAATACTAAAATCACTACCTTGTGCAATATATCTGAGTATGAGGCCGTAGGAACTCGGGAACTTTCAGAAAAGCCTCAAAGTTATTTGAAGCAAGAGGTGCATCACTTGGTCCTGTAAAATAAGAATGGTATCCCGTTGAAGAAGTTTTTCCATGCGAATAACGATTGCCAAAGAATATTCCAATCAGACAGATCTAGGCCAACGGAAAATAATATTTAGTTTGTCAATCACAAAAAACAAACATCATGTGAGATTGTATCAACTGAAGCTTCATTTGATGTTGTGTCAGTGACATTACTCAAATTTTTACCTTAACATTTCCCAAAAAGCAATTAGAATGGTAAAAATTTCCTATCAATTAATTCAAGTCATGGTTATTCTCACAGTTTCCAAGTCATCAAGGGCATTTGATCATTCTTATAAAAGTGTAGGCGACAAATGTAATGACTGGAAATGTTAAAGTACGCATAACCGGACAACATCTAAAATTTTCCCCTTAAAATTTGTTTCAACAAATATCACACGCCAAGTTACATTAGAGAGACAGTTGCACATATTCCAAGAAAGCATTGCATGATATTTTCACATCCTCAATTATTTCAGACGTAAGATTTACAACCGGCTCGTGGAATAAGTGAGTTAAGCATAAAGTTTCTGCAAGAACGGGCCACTCAATGGGACTCATTAATCACTAAGATGAAGAACTTCTACCACTTCTATTTTAAGTTTCTTTAAGAAAGAGGAGCTTCATCGTCTTCTTTGCTCTTTCATCACTATAATGTAACAGTTAATACTCTTGAGTCAGCAGCTTATCTATATGATCCAGAGTGGAAAAATTGACAGCTAAAATCTGATTGTTTAACTCCTGACAATTCAGTCTGTCCTCAAAGATATGGTTTTTTCAATATAGAATAATAGGTTCATTATCCAAACAAATGTACAACAATTCTATCTAGTATGACAAATCTCTTCAACCTCTGAATGGCAACGAAAGATATGGAGATAGACATATAAGTATCATGCACAATGTCTCATTGGAATACATACACGTAATATACAGAGGATACTTCCTCATGCATCTACTGAAGAGAAGAGCTGATGCTCACCGCAATAGTAAGTTGTCAGAATACGAGCATCAGGTGCATAGGCATGAATCTCACTGGCCATGCTGCGGATGGCATCATATTGTTCGACGTTGAGAGGCTGACCAGTGCAAATAAAACTTCTTTAGAGCATAGAAACAATAAAGATAGGCAGCTACCATCAATTGTCCCCTCTTGTGAAGGGGGAAAAGTAGGTAAAAAGGATAACAAAATCCGAGGAGGAAAAAGGGGAATACAAGTGCTACTGTATGAATGGAAACAAGAAAATATGTTTATCCCAGGCCCAGGTTGTCTTGCTTACCTTCTGCAGAAGACAGTGTTAAGCACTATGAGTCTGTAAATACAGAGTGGGATTTCCCCTTTTTTGGTATGAACAAACGGATTCGGTAGTTTGAGACAAAACAGGAAAAAGTTTATGTGTATGACTCCAACAAGTTTGTTACCGAGGCATAGGTGTTGGTGTTATAAACTTCTTGTTGGTGTTATAATGACAACCAGCATATTTTAGGAAAACTATGATGTTTTTTCATCTACAAAATCAGAAAAGCAGAGCAAAGCCCAAGTCCAGCTACAAACAGGAGAAAACATGACTCTGAACTGCAAGTGTCGCTAGAATAATGTAAGGTCTGTCATATGTGCTAAAAGACTAGCAATTCAACCTGCCTCAATCTGCTCACTTACCTCATCCCATAGATAGAAGTAGGCTTTCCTCCAATGGTTTTTTGTCCTTAGTATCTCTACCTCCCTTCGTAAGTAGTCCTTTGCAGTACCTTCGCTAATGCCAAATTAAGAAGCAAAAAGAAACTGATCAACTGGTATAGAAAATACACCATGGAATTTTTGGCAAAGAAATTATCCAACGTACCAGGGGACTAACGGACCATAAGGTACAGCATATGCCGCAAGACGAGGGTCCGATAAATACTCATCTGATTTTGGATGGTCAGCTGTAACAGCATTAAGAGAAAGACATTTTAGTTTATTGTAGATAAACTTGAGGTAAAGGCCAGTAGGAGAGCAGAACTGGAGGTGCAATTACAGTTTGGCTCCTTTACAAACTTGTCTATTTTGAACTTCAGTTACATCTAAAAGTACGACGGCAAAACTTCATTCAGTTTCCATGTACAAACATACAGCGCATCATATACCTGGCCATGGCGAGGTGTACGTTAAAACTCTCATGCCATTGCCCCACCTGCAGAAGTATGGACTAATTCGATATTGAAGTAGCCATTTGAAATGCTGATCTAACAGCTGAAACCATTCACTGCTTCCATGCTCAACCCCAAACCGATCTTCGATAACAGTGTCAGATATCTAGGCTAAATTAAAGAACTCCATCCTCATTTGAAAATTCAGTTGATTTATCACAGAAACTAGAACCAGCAGCAGTCACCCCACTAGTAGAGACAAAAGGAGATAATTCTAGAATATTTGGCCTTTTCAGGAAAATGTATGATATACTAGTTTACAGGAATAACAGAAAAAAAAAGAAGGGAAAAAACTAATAGACAAGATGTAGGCAGCACGTGAATAAGCTTGTAAAAGTACCTTAGTCAACAGTTATGGCGACATTCCGAAGAAGAAGCTAGCCAATTAGCAAATAGAAACAGTCAAATCAACTATTGGCAGGCAAAACGTCAAGTCAACATGATGTAAAACACATGACAATTAAACCTGATAAATCAAAAATCCTATGAATTCAATTGAGAGCCATCTTATTCCAGTAGAAATTCTCCACAACCAGTTAATTGGCTTGATGTTTCTTCTAACCAAATGCACAAGAAAGGATACACCAATCACAGCAGGGACAGAAGGAGTAGCTGGAA